GGATAAAACAAACACAGAGGAAGCTGTGTATGGTTTATTAATTGTGACGTACTAGTATGAGATGTTAATGCAGGGAATGTATCACTACCTCACAATTTTTGTTTGTGAACTTAAAATTAATAATAACCCCCCAAAAAACACAAAAAGCTAATTTTTGTACAAAAAACTGAAACCCATGCAGAGTTTTTCATAATGCACCTTTTTTAAAACATTTCTTTTTAATTTATTTGTTCTTTTATTCATTTCATTTGCAAGTCAGTGTGGCAGCCAGACCTGCAGTCTGCTAATTCACTTCCTAAAAGCTTGGGTAGCAGGGACTCAATCCAGGTCTCCCACATGGGTAGAAGGGGCTTGCGAACTTGAGCTGTTACCTGCTGCCTCCTAGGGTTCACGTTAGGAGGAAGCTGGATCAGAACTGCAGGAACTCCGTTGTGGGATGCAGATGTCTTTTATATATATATATATATATATATATATATATATAAATTTATATATATATTTATATATATAAAATATATATATAAATATATATATATATTTACGTATTTGAAAGGCAGAAATACAGAGAAAGAATAAGAGAGAGAGAAAGTCTTCCATCTGCTAGTTCACTCCCCAAATGGCTGCAATGGCTGGAGCTGGGCCAATCTGAAGCCAGGAGCCAGGAGCTTCTTCTGGGTCTCCCATGTGGGTACAGGGGCCCACGCACTTGGGCCATCTTCCACTGCTTTTCCAAGCACATTAGCAGGGAGCTGGATTGGAAGTGGAGACGCTGGTACTCTAACCGGTGCCCATATGGGACGCTAGCAATGTAGACGGAGGCTTAGCCCACTACACCACAGTGCCCGCCTCAATGCAGCTGTCTTAAGTGGAACCCTAACTGCTGTGCCAAAAGCTGGCCCCTCATAATACACATTTTCAACTTTTTTAAGCCTCCCCACCCATAACAATGTATCAACAGTAGCTCATCAGTTCTAAGAAATGTACAGGTAACAGGAGTTCGGAGTTTCTGTGGTGCAGTGGGCTAAGCCTCTGCTGGCATCCCATATGCATTCCACACGGGAACACTGGTTCATGTTGGACAGCTCTGCTTCCGACCCAGCTCCCTGCTAATGTGCATGGGAAGCCAGGAGAAGACGGCCTAAGTACTTGGACTCCTGCCACCCCTGCAGGAGACTGGGAGAGAGTTCCTGGCTTCTGGCTTCAGCCACCATTGCAGTCATTTGGGGAGTGAACCATCAACTGAGAGATCTATCTCTCCTCTCTCATTCTGCTTTTCAAATACAAAAATAAATCTTTTGTTTGTTTGTTTGACAGGTAGAACTACAGATAGTGAGAGGGAGAGACAGAGAGAAAGGTCTTCCTTCTGTTGGTTCACCCCAAAAATGGCTGCTACAGCCAGTGCTGCGCCGATCCGAAGCCAGGAGCTTCCTCCTGGTCTCCCATGCGGGTGCAGGAGCCCAAACACTTGGGCCATCCTCCACTGCCCTCCCAGGCCACAGCAGAGAGCTGGACTGGAAGAGGAGCAGCTGAGACTAGAACCTGGTGCCCATATGGGATGCTGGCGCCACAGGTGGAGGATTAACCAAGTGAGCCATGGCGTCAGCCCCCAAAAATAAATCTTAAACAAACACCTGGGGGAAATGGAGTGGAAGGAATGATCTCTCTGCTATGGCCTGGGAAAGCAGTGGAAGATAGCCCAAGTGCTTGTGCCCCTGAATCTGCGTGGGAGACCCAGAAGAAGCTCCCAGCTCCTGGCTTCAGATGGGCACAGTCCGGCCATTGCAGCCATCTGGGGAGTGAACCACGTTTATTTTATTTATTTGAAAGGTAAAGTTACAAAGAGAGGCAGAGAGAGAGAGAGAGTGAGTCTTCCATTGGCTGGTTCACTCCCCAAATGGCCACAATGACTGGAGCTGGGCCAGGCTGAAGGAAGGAGCTAGGAGCTTCTTCCAGGTCTCCCACCTGGGAGCAGGACTTGGATCAGAAAAGGAGCAGCCAGGACTCCAGCGCCCATATAGGATGCCAACATTGCAACTTGCTGCACCACAGTGCTGGTCCCCAGAAGGTTAATTCTGGCTAACCTGACTCATTGTCTCCTGACCTGGCTTCCTGCTAATGTGCCTGTGAAGGCAGTGGGAGGATGCACCAAGTACTTCAGCCCCTGCGACTCATGTGGGCGACATAAATGGAGTTCCTGGTTTCCATCGGCCATTTTGGCCATGTGGGGAGCAAACCAGCAGATGGGAGATCTGTCTCCCTTTCTCTTTGTCACTCTTTCAGATAAATACATCTTAAAGTTTGTGCAGAAGGATCATAGCCACCTTAAGAGCATGCTTGGAGGCACCCTGGTATTTACTTATCAAGAATCCTACCCATGTCTGCTAACCTCATAGGCTCCTACTCTTCCCCTCCTCTATCCACCTGCCAGGGGCAATCTTCCTGGCCCAGCACTTAGGTGGCTTATCCTGTCTGATAACACGGTGGGGGAGGGGTTGCTGGTGTCATAGAACCTTGGGAGGAAGCCCTGTGCCCAGCGACGTGTCAGAGGAGTGGGAGGCAGACGTGGACCTCACACTCTTGAGAGCAGACTGGGCACACGGCCTGCAGGCTGTATTGCTTCATAAGTCTTTTGGCTAAGCCTGTTTACTGCCAATCCATCCCATGTCTGAAATTCTTTTCTTCGGGTGTGGGGTGGGGGCGGTTGGAGGGACAAGAACCTCCGTCTCGGGGCTGCCATTCTGGTGCAGCCGGTTAAGCTGCTGCCTGTTCAAACCCCTGCAGTTCTGCTGTGGATCCAGCTCTGCTAATGCCCCCTGGGAAGGCAGCAGGTGACAGCCCAAGCTATTTGGGGCCCTGCCCCTGCCATGCCCCTACCCCCCATGTGGATGACCTGGCTCCTGGTTTTGGCCTGGCCCAGCCCTGTTGTGTAGTGCTGTTTGGGGACTGAACCTAGCAGATGGACAACTCGCTCACTCTGTCTCTTCCTCTGTCCATGTTACCCTGCTGGTGGTGGGGTGGCCTAGCAGGTAAAGCTGCTGCCTAGGACACCAGCAGCCCATGTGGGTGCTGGATCAAGTCCCAGCTGCTCCACTTCCGATATCCAGCTCCCTGCCAATGCTCCTGGGAAGGCAATTGAAGATGGCCCAAGTGCTTGAGCGCCTGCCACCCACATGGGAGACCCTGAAGCAGCTCCTGGCTCTGGCCTGCCCCAGCCCCAGCTGTTGCAGCCATCTGGAGAGTGTACCAGTAAATGGAAGATCTATCTCTTGCTCTATTTTTCAAATAAATAAATAAAATTCAAGTCTTAAAAGAAATCTGCCTCTCTGGGACATTTGTGGAATATTATTCAGCCCTAAAAGGAAGTTATAACAGATGTTCCAACATAGAAGAATCTAAAATATTTAGCTTGCAGGTAAGACTGAAGAGTTATGTGTAGGGTCAGCATTGTGGCCTAGCAGGTAAAGCTATTGCCTGTGACACCAGCAGCCCATGTGGGTGCTGGATCAAGTCCTGGCTGCTCCACTTCCGATATCCAGCTCCCTGCTAATGCACCTTGGGAAAGCAGCAGAAGATGGCCCAAGTATTTGGGCCCTGCACCCTCGTGGGAGACCAGGATGGAGCTCCTGGCTCCGGCCTGGCTCAGCCCTAGCAGATGCAGCCATCTAGGGAGTGAATCAGCAGATGGAAGATCTATTAAGTAAATATAAAACTTTTAAAAGACCATATATTGTATGGCTCCCTTTATATGAAATACCCAACATGGATAATCCAGAGACAAGCAGAAACAGACGAGGTCTGTGAGGCCTGAGGGGATATGGAATGGGGGTCAAGGGGCTTTCTTTCAGGATGAGACCACCTTGGAATGACGTAGTAGCAGGTTTTGCACTGCTCCGATTCCGTTCCAGCTCCCTGCTATTGCACCCGGGAAAGCAGTGGAGCGTGAACATGGGCTAAGTACTTGGGCTCCTGCACCCATACGGGAGAGCTGAAAGGAGTTCTATGCTCGTAGCTCCAGTGTGGCCCAGTCCTGGTCATTGCAGCCACTTGGGGAGTGAACCAGCAAATGAAGATGGCTGCACAGCACTGTCAGTGTGCCAAATGCCATGGAATTGATCACTAAAAATGGTTAAGGGGAGGGGCCAGTGCTATGGCGTAGCTGGTAAAGCAGCTGCCTGCAGCATCAGCATCCCATATGGCCCTGGTGCACGTCCTGGCTGCTCCATTTCTAATCCAGCTCTCTGCATCTCTGGCCTGGGAAAGCAATGGATGATGGCCCAATTCATTGGGCCTCTGCACCCATGAGGGAAACCTGGAAGAAGCTCCTGGGTTTGGACCAGCCCAGCTCTGGCCATAACCGCTATTTGGGGAGTGTGCCAGCAGATGGAACACCTCTCCCACTCCCCCACTCCTCTAACTAACTCTTTCAAATAAATATTTAAAATAAATAAGGGTTCATCTTCAGTTATGTAAATTTTTGCTCAGAACAAAAGGCAAAAGTAAAAGTACTTTTGAGTAATCCTGAATGTTTTTAATGATTTATTTACAAAAAGCAGAGTGACAGAAGATTTTCTCTCCTCTGGTTTAACAACCAGGGCTGAACCAGGCCAAACCTGGGACCCACCGGAGACGCAGTCCAAGTGGGAGCTGCGGGAGCCAGACCCCAACCCAGGGCCTCCATCTTAGCCTTGAGGCCCAACGCCCGCCCCTCATTCCTCTTTTTCACCTTCCTCGTGTTCTATGCCTTTGACATCTCTGCCTGCAGCACACACTGCACCTGCTGTGGAGCCCCTAGCCACGCACTGGACAGAAAAGACTCAGAGGGACCACTCCTAATCCAGCAGCTTTATTTCAAGTGCTGAATTCTAATAGTGAACTTTCTTGTAAATATTCACTTTCCCTCTCCCAATCCGCGGTGCCTCCCATCTGGGGCACCTGGTACATCTGGTACCTGGTACAGGTACTGCCTAAGTACATCTTTACTGCCTCTCTTCCATTCATAGGCCCTCTGGCTGAATCCCAGGCTGGCTGGGAAGCAAGACACAGCCGTGTCAACTCCAAGGGAGAGGCCACCTTCACCTTCTGCTCGTTAGGAAAGAACATCTGCGCCATTAAAAAAACAAAACAAAACAAAACCCTTGATCTGGCACGGCCAAGACTACTTACTGCAGGCGGGACTCAGACCTGGGCAAGCCTCCATCATGTTGCATGGGAAGCATTCAATTTAAAGGAAAACAAGCGAACAGAGGTGATGTGGAGGTCAAACCCCAAAAACAAGGTCAAATATTGAGAACAGTGATTCACCAAGGGCCTAGGGTCGGCAGTGCCGTGTCCAGGGTGGGACTTCCCTTGGGAATTGGAAGTTGCCCCATCCTTTGAGGCTTGCAGGCCACACACACACACACACACACACACACACACACACACAGCCACGCAAAGGCTGCCCTGTGAAGCCACAGCCAATAACTTTATAAAAAAATAACCCTTTATAAAGACTGAGCTATTCCTAGTACAGAGCTGCTCCCAGCTAAAAAAGAACAAAAGCAAACCCCCCCCAAAATAAAAAGGAAGACCCCCCCAAGGCCTTTCAGCCAGGGGCTGCATCTACCACGCAGAGTACTGCCAAGATCTAATCACCCGACTTTTATTACAACTGCGGCCGCAGTGTGGGCGCCGGCGGGTCCCCCTGTGTGCTGCCGCCCGCACGCCCGCCCATCACTCTGCGGGGGCCTCGGCTTTACACGATGTATCAGTTTGTGCCTCTTGGGCTTCTGGGGCGGGAGCGCTGTCAGCCTCCAGGGTCATCCCCTCACTTGTGGCCTCGCCGTGGTCGGTCCCCATCTCAGCTGCCGACCCGCAGGACGTCTGCTCCTCCAGCTGTGGGTCACTGGGGGCCTCTGCTGAGTCGGCTGGGCCTTCCCCGGCAGCTGGAGCTTCCCCGGCATCAGGCGCTTCGTCCCCATCCACGGCCCGCACGGCGGCGGTTATCACCTCGGCCAAGACCTCGGCAGCCACCTCCTCCGGGCTCTCTTCCTTGTCCTCACCTTCCAGGTTGTCGTCTCCCTCCATTTCAGGATCAACAGCTTCGCTGGTGAAAGGGTCCTCGCCCTGGCCAGAGAGAGCGTGTGGGGTCAGGGCAGCCTGCAGCTGTGCGGCAATGGTCCCAAGGACCTGGCATCTCCTACCCCAACTGCTCTATTTAAAGCCATCTCATAGGGGCTGGGCTGTGGTACAGTGGGCTAAACCTGCGCCTGCTGTGCTGGCATCCCATATGGGCACCAGTTCAAGTACCAGCTGCTCCACTTCTGATTCAACTCTGCTATAGCCTGGGAAAGCAGTAGAAGATGGCCCAGGTGCTTGGGCCCCTGCACCCATATGGGAGACCCAGAAGCAGCTCCTGGCTCCTGGCTTCCACCTGGCCCAGCCCTGGCCGTTGAAGCGTTTTTGGGAGTTAACTAGAGGATGGAAGATCTCTCCTTCTCTAACTCTGCCTTTCAAATAAATAAAATAAAAATAAAACATGCTGAGGGGCCGGCACTGTGGCGCAGCGGGTTAACGCCCTGGCCTGAAGCGCCAGCATCTCATATGGGTGCCAATTTGAGACCCGGCTGCTCCACTTCCAATCCAGCTCTCTGCTATGGCCTGGGAAAGCAATGGAAGATGGTCCAAGTCCTTGGGCCCCTGCATCTGCATGGGAGACCTGGAAGAAGCTCCTGGCTTTGGATCGGCGCAGCTCTGGCCATTGTGGCCAGTTGGGGAGTGAACCATCGGATGGAAGACTTTCGTCTTTCTCTCTCTCTCCTCTCTGTGTAACTCTGACTTTGAAATAAATAAATCTTTAAAAAACATAAAATAAAATGTGCTGCTTAGATATCATCTACACTTGCCTCCAGAAACCTGGAACTTCTTTAAGCCACAAAGGGAAAATGCTGGCTTGGTTGTATCTCTCTCTCTCTCTCTCCTTCTCTCTCTCTTTCTCTTTCTTAAGATTTATTTCAAACTCCGAGCCAGCCAGAGAGAGAGATAGGGAGAGAGGTCTTCCATCAGCTGGCTCACTCCCCAAATGGCAATAATAGCTGGCTCTGGCCCAGGCCGAAGCCAGGAACCAGGAGCTTCTTCCAGGTCTCCCATGTGGGTGCAGGGGCCCATGCACTTAGGCCATCCTCTACTGCTTCGCTCAAGCCATCAGGAGTGAGCTGGATCCAAAGAGGAGCAGTCAGAACTCAAACCAGCACCCACATGGGATGCCTGCACAGCAAGTGGTGCCTTTACCTGGCATGCCACAATACCAGCCCCTTAGTTTGTTTTTCTTAAGTTACTTACCTACAATCTGCCTTGGGGTGGCTGTTTGGCCTGGCGACTCAGACACCTGTGTCCCCCATCTGAGAGTCTGGGTTCAATTCCCAGCCCTGCTAATACTGCAGGCCGTGAGAGGCAATGTTGACCACCACCCCTGTGGGAAGCCTAGACTGAGTTCCTGCTCCGGGCTCCCCAGCTTCGGCCCCCACAAGCACTGCAGGCATTTTGGGGAGCACTGTATTCTGCCTGCCTCTCATACCGGTAACGGACTGTGACACTGAGGCACGCAGGCACCAGGCACACTGGCCCTAAAGGTTATGGATCAACACTGAAGCCCTAGAGAAGTGAGCACTGGGCAAGAGCACCTCCCGCTGCCCCTCCTCCCCAGGAGCCCCTGTTCCTGCCCACCTCACTCACTCTTGGCACAACCTCCATTTTGCTTCTTTCCTGGATAATCATCATCTACCCTGGATTGTTTTATAAAAAAGCACCTGAGTATCATTTGCTCGGCATCTTATGGCCGCAGCATCGGGGCTTCTCGACGAAGAGTCCTCAACAGTGCAGGGTGACCCATCCAGAGCACTCCCAGGCCAGCAGTGAGTCCCCAGCCTGTCCCCATGCTGGCACTCCAGTGTCCCTCTTAAGTGCTGGGCACTACACTCGGGGCTCAATTCTCCCAATCTCAAGCTGTGCCTGGCGGCCGGTGCTGTGGCAGAGCCGGCATCCCACATGGGCACCAGTTTGAGTCCTGGCTGCTCCACTTCAGATCCAGCTCTCTGCTATGGCCTGGGAAAACTGTGGAAGATTGCTCAGGTGCTTGGGTTCCTGCATCCACCTGGGAGACCCAGAAGCAGCTCCTGGCTTTGGATTGGCTCAATTCCTGCCGTTGCAGCCATCTGGAGAGTGAACCCGTAGATGGAAGACCTCTCTCTCTAACTCTCGCGTTTCAAATAAATAAATAAGTCTTAAAACAAACAAATAAATAAGCTTTGCGTGTGCTCTGGCCTCCTGACACCAACCTTGAGGTACTTCTCCAGCATCTTCACTATGTGTCGGTTGTTCAGAACACTCTTGGCCACATGGAGACTTGTCTTCTTGAACTGCTCCGCGGCCAGCTGCAAAGGGAAGCAGAGCCGGACTCTTAGGAAGACGGCCAGCAGAGACACAACTTCCCTGGGCAAGTCCCACAACGCGACACTGAGGGGTGGCGGCGGCCTTGTGGTGTAGCTGGCTGGGCCAGCCCGAGTCCCGGCTCCCCTGCTTTGGATCCAGCCGCAGGAAGGCCAGCGGATGGCAGGGTGACAGCCCAAGGACCTGGGAGCATCATGCCAACGCACGGAAGACCTGTCCCTCTGCCTTTCAAATTCAGGCAGCAGGAAACTTTCTTACTTAGGACTCGCTGGGTTATACCGACTTCCTGTTAAGTCTGCGCAACTACAGTGCGGACGCAGTCTGCCAGTTACCCCCTTATTTGCACAGTGCTCTTTTTAGGTTCATGTCAACTGGTTCTGGGAGACCAGAAGGGCCGCTCTGGGTGTCACCGCTGGACACCTGGGTAAGGACAAAGACTAAACCTAGGGTCAGGGGTCAGGGGTCAGCAAGCTCCAGACCAGGCACAGCCATACCCACCCCTCCTCATCTGTGGCTGCTTTGGCGCGGACACCTGGACATCTGCATCAGCAGAGCCCACGTCTGTGCTCCGTGGACTCTCTGACAGCTCTAGGTTACCCCTCCTGACACCTAACACATGCGAATGCACAGACACAGCCTGTCTGCAGGGCGTCATCCACCACCCGACTCCCAGGGGGAGCCCAAAGTGCTCCAGCAGTGAGTCCCTCGCCCGGCTGGTTTTCAGGGAGCATTCTCCAGGCAGAATCCCAGCTGAGCGCCATGGCAGGCAGGCACTGACCCGGCGGTTGTGGTTGTGGTCCACGGAGTGCAGGTGCCGCTGCAGGAGCTGGGGCCGCGCGGGTATCAGCATGTCGCAGGCCTGGCAATGCGCAGCCTCGATCCTCTTGAAGAAGTGCTCCTGGCCAATCCCTGTGCCAGAAGCCAAGCCCGTGGTAAACTCCTCCCCACCCCCCTCCGCCACGCCTCCCATCCAAGGCCCAGATCAGCCCCCTGCAATGCCAGGGCCGAGGGTTCAGTTAGGTTGGCATGCTGCTGCAGGAACACGGGGCTCAGGGCTCCTGGCCACTGCTGTACCCTGGGATTTTTCCACCTCAATGCGCCTCATCCTCCCCATCCACAGATGGCTACAAGGCTCCCACCCGCTGCTGGCAGAGCACTGACCAGCCCAGGGCTACATGTAAACACCTTCCATTGCTCTACACTTCCCGCTGCAACACCTCCTCCTCCCCTGACAGCCTGCGCACCCTGGGACCACCGCCCACCCCCACCCCCACTCACCCTTGAAAGGGTCAGGTTTGGGTTTGGCGCTCTCCTTCTCCATCAGCTCCTGCCGCCGCTTCTCGATTTTCTTGTTCCTGTTTATGATATATTCCTGGAGGAGGGGGTGGCAACGTTCTCAGTGGAGGGGCTGGCATGCTGCACCGGGCAGGAAGGTAAGCGTGGCAGCTACTCGCTGGGAGGACCGGCTACAGTCGCCTAAGCTCTTGGATGGCGCCTCTGGGACCCGGGGACAAGTGCAACCACCCCTTCCCTCCGGAGCGGGTCCTCACCTGCAGGAACTCCACCGTCTTGTCCGGCAGCTTGGTGCCGATGAAGCGCAGCGTCTCTTTGTGGAATTTGCTCTGCAGGTGCTTTTGGATTTCTGCATCCTCGAAGCTGCGGAACTTGCACACCGAACAGGCAAACTGGATCCTGGGGGAAGACAATGACCCAGGGCAGGGAGCCTGAGCCTGGCAGCTCATCTGGGGATGGGGGGCTCCTGCCTGCCCCACTCCACGGGTCCTTCCAGGAGACGATCCACCCTGAGGTTCCCCAAGAGAAACCCCTGAGGTGGTGGCTTCTCAGAACCAGAGCCTCGCCAGGCTCTAGCTAACCAGCACCAAGCTCTAGGGACTTCTCAGGGGAGATGCTCCTGTGTGGCCAATGCCTTAAGAGGGCAGCCACTGTTTTTATACGAAGAAAAAACTTCTGGAAAGCTCTCCCAGGAGACTCTGCGTGCTTTCCTCATGCCATCAGGGCTGTGTGGTGGGGCAGAGTGGAGCCCTGCCCTCCCTCAGTGAAGGATGCAGGGCCCGTGGCACTCCTCAAGCTTCAGTCGGCTCCCTAGGGCCTGGCTCCCATCTCTGTTCCTGACGTCATTGTTATTTATTTGAAAGCAGAGCAAGCAAGAGGACAGAAAGAGGTATCTTCCACTGGCTCCCCAAATGGCTGCCAACCGTCAGGGCTGGGCCAGGTGGAAGCCAGGAGGGAGGGATTCACTCCCAGCCTCCCATGGCAGGGACCAGGACTGGAAGTGGAATAGCCAAGACTTGAACTGGTACTCCCATAGGAATGTGGATGTGCACAGCACAGGAAGCTACAAGGACACGCAGGGCCACTTGGGCTTCGCTGCGGCCTCTTTACCTCCTCCCCGACAACCTAAGTCCCTTCCAGATTCTCGGGACTAGTGCAGGGTCCAAACCCAAAGGTTCCCTAAGCGGCCGGCATTGTAGCACAGAGGTTAGGCCGCCACTTGTGATGCCAGCATCCCATATTGAAGCACCTGCTGCTCCGCTTCCGATCCAGCTCCCTGCTTGTAATGCGCTTGGGCGATCAGAGGCAGACAGCCAGAGTGCTTGCCCCCCCCCCCCCCCCCCCCCCCGCCCCGGAAGAAACAGGCGGAGACTTGCAGGCTCTTGGCTTTGACCTGGCCCGGCCCTGACTACTGCAGGCATTTGCGGGGTGACCTGGAGGATCAAGATCTCTTTCCCGCTCTCCCTTTCAAATAAACAGAATCGGGCTTGTGTCTTCCAGTTCTCAGCCTCCAGGCTTTGTGGTGTCACTTTTGCATTTCTTTGTAAGGAAAATCCCTGTCCTATCTGTGCCTGATAGTCCCGGCCTCCCCTGTATAGGGAGGGGAGCCGCTGTCTGTAGGGCTGAGCAGGACGAGGCTAGGGTGCGCGGAGTTTGGTGTTTCTGCATCCTTTGCTCTGTTTCGGGCCAGAAGGGCCATCTGCATGTGCACTTCTGCTACATTAACCACCCCCCTGCCCCTGTGGTTTGAGGCCGGAGAAGGCACCAAGGGCCCTGCAACAGCTCTGCGGAATTGGGGTGCCAGGACCAAGCTTGGGCAGGGGCCAGCGACACTCCTCAGGCCTGCTGGAGGGTGAGGGCCCCCTGGTGGGCATACGTGGGTTACACAGAAGCCAGCTGGTTCTCCAGGCCAGGGCACACCCCTGACTCCACCCACTCCCTTTCCCAGCTTGGCTACAAGCTCCCAACAGACGCCTGCAGCAGAGGAACCCAGGGCCTGCTCCTCACCTGGAAGCCGCCCGGTCCCGCAACCTGTCTCTCCTCCTTTGCTTCTCTCGTCTCTTCTTCACTTCCTCATCCTCGTCGTCCCTCTCTCCTGTGACAGAGAAGTGCCTTCCAGGAGCCTGCAGAAGCACCTGAACGCCAGGGCCTCGTGGAGGGCTGTGGTGCCCTGTCCTCCGGCCGCCAGCTCCACAACACAGCAGGCTCGGGACACCCCGTGGGGCCGGCAGAGGCTCCCAATGGCTGTGGGCCTTGCAAGAGAGCCCCACAGTAGTCACCTCACCTCCTGCTACGGCCTGGTAAGGCCAGGATGGGCCAGGAGCACGGCCTGCTCATCCTACTGACCCTGCCCCAGGCTGCCTGTCCTTGGCTGTGCTGTCACCGGGTCTTCTCCCAACGCCACTTAAGGAAGGAGAAAAGCGACTCTCCCAACACAGAGGCAGCAGCGGCAAGGCCCCCAGAAACCACGCCAGCCGTTCTCCTACCCACCGTCCCACCTGCAGGGGCCGAGGCGCCCGTCCCGTCGGCCTCGTCTCAACTAGGGCCTCAGCAGGTGTCTGAGTCCTTGCTGGCCCAACCTCTATCTTCCACTCTCAAAAACCATCAGCCTAGGGCTTGCCCGGGGTGGCACAGGAAGCCATCCTGGAAACAAAAATGGGAAGAGACCCATGCGGTCCTCCCGTCTGTGCCCTGGGGGCCGGCGCTGGGGCTCCTCCAGAGTGTGGCGCAGCCAGCAGCCCAGCATCGAGCCAAAGCTGGGTCCCTGGGGCTCAGGGCCAGCCAGGGCCGGCGGACACTGAAAAAGGTTGGATAAGCATCTGAACTGTAACCCCTACCCCTGATGCCAGTCCCGACTGTCCCACGAAGATGGCGACGGGTGTGCGCTGCTCAGAAGCCTCTCAAAAGGGCGTGTGGGGTTTTTGGCAAGAGGCCACTGCCTGAAACTATGACTGCTGCTTAAGAGCAACGTCATCCGGGGAGGCAGCAGGACCTGCGCGCAACAGACACGGCACCTTCGCTTCAGCATCGACTCCGCTGCACAAGCTACGGACACAACTGCTCCAGTGCCGGGGCTGGAGGACCTCGGGCTCGGCTGGGCCCGGCAGCACGGCAAGCAGGAGCATCTCAACCCAAGGCTTCCAGAAGGTACAGGAGCATGGCCGCCCACGGGGCCAGCCTGGGATCCTTGCGGGGAAGCGGTCGTGCTGGACCCACGGGGCGGGGCAAGAAACAAGTGGCCCGTGGGAGAGTCCATGGCCGCTGCAGCTCAGGCTGCTTCTCTGTGACCCTCTGAGGGGCTCAGCCGCGACCTGCCCTGACCTCGCACCTGGACGCGAGTCTCCTGTGCTGTGACAGACAAGACCTGCTGCAGGATCTTGGGTGGTGTCTGGGTGGTGTCCGCCACCTGTCCCACACTTGTGGACAGGCACACGGCTGCCAGGATCCCCACCTTGGGGCCCAGGGACGCAGTTCTGGGCTGGCAACTGAGAAAAAGGGGGACAGTGACGTCCAGCGGATAACAGCACAGGGACTGTGCCCGCCGCGGGGCCCTCCCCTCCCTGCCATTGTGAGAATTGCAGACACCCAGCTGGGGATTCTCACCGCCCCTCCCACCCACACTGCAGCCCACACACCGAGAGGCAAACAGACCTGCTCTCGGCACACGTGGCCCCAAATACTTCAGAGCAGAGCTTCCAGTGACTGCAGCTCTTCCTCTGCCTGCAGCCCCCACCCACTCTCACGCCCCATCCAGCTTTGCTTAGAGGCCCAGCTGGGAAGACACGGGGCAGCCACAGAGGCCACGGGGTGATGCCTACCTCTTTGCTTCCCGAAGTCACAGAATTCGTCCTCCTGGAAGAAGGGTACAACGCAAAGTTGGGTGGTGAGGTGGTGGCTCCAGAACTTTCTACAAGCAGTCCAGCCCCTGCCACCATGTGCCAGGTTAAGCAGCCACGGGTGCCAGGGATCTGAAGACTCCCAGGTGCCCGCCCAGTGGGGAGCAGAGGAAGACCCTCAGGAAAGCCACAAACCCAGCGCATTCTGCCCACCTCGGCTCACCCGGCACCCCAAGGACCAGGGGGACGCAGACACAGGTGATGCCCTGCAGGGCTGGCGGCAGGGACCGGCCAACAGAGGGTGGCTGTTTTCAGGGAGGGAACGAGCGCCCAGGCCAACTGCTTAGAGCTGGCTGAGAGGACATAGCTGGTGCCGCCTCTTTGTGAGGAAGGGGGACAGACAGGGAACACCCAGCCCTTCCGCACGCGGGGACTTGGCCAAAAAGCTGCACTTACGCCTCTGAATTCTTCATCTCCTGACCGGAAGTCACCAGCTCCATCCTCTGCCAGGCACAAAGGGGCAGGACAGGTCAGCCCCGGCAGGGGGCCCCCCTGCTCCTGGTCTGCACATCCCTGCGCTCGATGTCTGGCCCGGGCTCCCAGCGTGTCCACGACACCCACCAGGCCCTGCGCGCCTACCGTTCTCAGATAAGTCCCCTTCACTGTCAGCCCGGGCAACCTTGGTGTCTGGCTCCTCGTACGGGGGAAACGGCCTGCGTTTCCTGCCCATGCCGTCTGGGCCAAAGCGGTCGAAGCCCCGCCTCCTGGGCTGTGGACAACAGGAGTACACCTCTCTCAGGTCCCCCTGCACTGGGGGCTCGCGCCATACCCCCACCCCTCCTGACCAAGAACTGAGGCTCAGAAATCCAGGAGGGGCGGGAGAGGAAGGGTGGTGGGGCGGCATGGAGTCACCAGCGGCCACAGCAACAGGAAATGGCCAGGGAGACAGGAAGCAGAGTGGGCAGGGTCGGAGGCTGGAGAGTGGGGGATGGAACCGCTAAGACTAAACCGTGGGGTGCGCTCTCTAGAAGTGGCGCCACCCCCTTAAAAAACGATGGGAGCCAACACCCAGGAGGCCTTACCCAGTCCCGCATGCGCCCCTGGGCGCGGCCGCACCCATAGGGCATGGAGTTGTCATAGCCGCCTGGCCCCTGCATGCCCATCCCACCGTAGTCAGGCTGCGAGAAGAGGGAAGGCGGTGGCCTATTGCCTGAGGGGCCGCCGGGGCCCCGGCCCCCCCCATAGTTCAGCTCATTCCAGGAACCGGACAGGGGCTCGGAGGAGCCTGAGGGAGGCAGGAAGGGGTCACCGCGTCCGAAGGCGCCTGAGTTGCCTCGGTCTGGGAAGCGGCCGTGGCCGTGGCCCCGACCGCGTGCGAAGCCGTCGAGGGAGCCGCGCTCACGGCCTGGGTCCCGGCAGTCACTGTACTGCCCGCCAAAGCTGCCGTTGCGCTCGGCCCCCGGGTCGTAGTCGTAGTCGTAGCCGTAGCTAGGCCGATAGGTGTTGTGTTCCGGCAGGCATGGCCGGGAGTCATAGGACTCGAACTGCTGGAAGCGGAAGTTGCTGCAAAGGAGGCGAGTGAAAGGCCCTCAGGGATGGCTGAGACCCTCCACCGCCTGCTGCAAAGCTGCTCCCTCCCTCTGCAACAGCAAACCCACCCTCCCACCCCCACCCAAATGCTCACAGGGAAACACAGCACTGTGGAGGGGGCCTGAAGCCCTCTGGCCGCCAGAGCAGCCCCGGTGCAGACAAGGAGTCTGCCCCAGCCAGCCCGTGAACACCCAGCAACAAAGTCCTAGCGCCTCTTCTCCCCGCTCCCCCACAGTGGGCTCGGCTCCCTCACCTACGCCACACTCAAGAGGGAGATGAGAGAGAGAACGAGCGAGAGCCAGCACCAAGCCAGCGTGCAGGGAACCCCCCCACCCAGGGAAGGGCTCAGGGCCATAATCACCTCTCCCGGTCCTGCATGCCCTCCCCGCCGCTGTTCCCGCCCCTGCCTCCTTCCTTGGACATCATGTTCAGACGCTGGTTGATCTTGGCAATGAGGGAGTCAGAACTGTCGCACGGCTCTGGCCCGAAAGAGGAGGACATGTGCATGGCAGGGCCCCCATCGTGGCCCTTGGAGGCCTCCCAGGACGAGCCTGGGCCGTAGTTGTAGGATGATCCCGAGGTGACGCCGGCGCCCTGGGCCCCGTAATAACTGTAGTTGTCGTAACCTGTCAGAGGGTAGAGGCCCCAGGTCAGACCTGGGCAGGCCCGAGGCCCTGGCAGTGAAGGAGAACCCACCGCCCACCTAGAAGGCAAAGGACTGGCAGAGACCAGGCACTGCTGGCGTGGTGTGGGCACACAGCTGTCAAGGAGTCAGCAAGAGGTGGCCAGAGCGGGAAGTGGCTCCCCATCAAGCCCTAGTTGGCAGAGTCCCCCACAAATGGGAGTCTGGGCTGTCAAGAGCCTGCTGCTCCTGGAACCCACCCATGACCCTGCTCCAGCACCATGCTCGCGGGGGGAGGGGGAGCACACCAGACATCCCCACTGGCTGGGGGACACCCGGGTGATGGGGGACAGGGAAAGGAGGAGGGGTGTGCATCTCAGCCCCTCACCCACCTGCAGACCCCCAGCTGGTCGCCCCACTTCCATATGCACCTTAGGAGAAACAGAAAGACACATGAGAGCCTCGTTTGGAGGCTGAAGGCACCAGCAACCCAGCTCCAGGGAGACAAGACTGCACTGCACCCAAGACCCACAGAACCAGGCTGAGCGGAACCTGCGCTTCTCTCCTGATTAGCGGGCCGGGAAAAGGGTGCTTTGGTGCACACAACCCCCAGGAAGCTTGTCCGTCTCCTGTGGGCCACCAGCCAGGAGGCCAGCCAGGCTGCCAAGCGGAGCCTGATAAAGGGCCAGCTCTCGGGCACTGCCAGTCCGCCCTGGGGAGCCTCTGATGGAAAAAAATCACGTCCTCAACTCAACTGAACGAGGGAACGCGATGTGTCCCCAGCGGGTGCTGGGACAGGTCCCAGGCTCAGAAGGCATCAGGGGCCGGCAGCAGACAGAGCACTCCCCGTCCTCCGGACACACTGAGCACCTCGCCGCGGCCCCTCGGCAGGGTCAGCCCGCACACACGCAGGGGAAATGTCCCGCACCACTGGGGGGTGGGGGGAGGCGGAAGCAGGGAACTCGAGTATCATCCGCTCAACCCTAAACCCAAAGCTGCACTAGGCAGCACACAGGATCCATTAGAGGACAGGGAACACTCCCACCACACACAGCCCTGAGAGAGAGCCTGCTGTGACAAACGGCATCTCGTGACACGCCAAAACCATGACATTCAAATTTCACTGCCCGTTCAAAACAAGAAAAGCAGGTGGCTTGCAGTCTAGTCAGCTCCTTTGCCTGAGCAGCCACAGAGCGCTCTGTAGACCCCCGGGGGACCATCTCCCCCTCGACCCACTCACCCTGGTTGCTGGCAGGCCCTGAACTCCACGCCCCGTAGCCTGTGAACAAAAGATGCTGCGGGTTAACGCGTCAGCCGTCACGCACGCACGGGACACCCGGACCTGGAGGTGCTGGCCTCCAGAGAAGACAGCCATGGCTGCCAGCATCATCCCCTAAGGATCCGTCCCACAGCCGGCTGACAGGCCTCAAGGCAGGAGAAGGGAGGGTGGAAGGGGAAGGGAGAGGAGGGAGGAGGGGAGAAGAGGTCAGAGCTGCTCCAAGGCCCCTCCAAGCCTCAAACCTGAGTCAAGGATGAGCAGGAGCCTACAGCTGTCTGCAACACCCAGCAAGCTAAGAGCAGGGCTCAGCTCCCCCGAAGGACCCCAGGGCCACTCAGAGCAGGGAAATGTCACCCTCCAGGCCCCGCCTCCGGGGCAGGGAGCTGGCTTCTCACCTGCGTCCCCCAAGCCCGTGCCCACCACCGCACTTCAACTCTGATGAGCAGACACGCTCGCCTCCAAGACGTCCCGCCGCCCACAGGATGCCCTACTGTGCGGCAGGAGCTCGGGGACTCGCTCCACTGCGGACGGAGCCCTCTCCTGACCCACCGTGCTCAGACCCTAACAGCAGCCGACCGACCTCCGGGGCCCTGATCCCTCAAAACACCACCCGGGGGGGACTCAAAAAAGTCTCCGCAGCTAGGACGCGCAGGAGAGAAAAACCTCTCCAGCCTACACGAAGGGAGGACGGCGTTACTGGCAGGAGCTGTCTGGCGCGAAGGAAGACAAGGCAGAGAGACCAGGCCAGGCTTCAGGGAGCGGGCCGAGCCCTCCCCTAGGGCGCTATGGTTACCCAAGCGCGCACGCACACGCACACAAGGTTGCAGCTCAGAGACCCCCACCCTCTGCAATCCCTGCTGCAGGGACCCCCCCCACTCTGTCACCTCTAGAGACCCGCGCCTGCCTTAGCTGCCGCAGCCCAGGTCAGACCCGTCCCCACATCCCCCGCCCCCAGCTTCTCTCCCCGGCCCAGCCCTACCGTGCAAGTTCCAACGGGTTTCTGGCGGGTGAACCCGGCCCCAGGAACAGAGCAAAGGCCTCCCGGAAGGTTCTGATTCCCGAGAACAGGAGCGGGGAGCTCGAAGAGGTCGGCTCCACCGCAGGCAGGCGCTGAAGCCAAGCGGGAAGGGGCGCGTCCGCTCCTACACGGTCCCTAGGCCCCTCCAGGCCGCCATGAGGGGCTGCTGCACCCCGGCTTCGCACACCAAACTCCTCGGCCTGTCCCCCGGCTGTCTCGTCCGGGGGCGCCTCCGCCCCCCTCGGCCAGCACACAGCTGCGCCCGGAGAGGCTAACCCCTGCAGAGGCCGCGGTGGGCCCGGCCGGCCACAGACCCGACCCCGCGCAGACCGGATGTGCTCGCAGCCACAACGCTCAGCAAAGGCCCTACCAAGCCCAGCGGGCCCGGGAAAGGCGGGTCCCCAGCCGTCGATCAAGCACCCCCGGGCCGGACCCCACGTCGTGGCCCCGCCCCCGGAGCCGCCATTTTGTGGCGTCTGTAAAGGGGAGGGGAGGAGGAAGAGGAGGAGGAGGCGGCGGGACGGCGAGCACTAGAGTCGCCGAAGCCCGGCTGAGCTCCCGCTGCGCCGCGAGGAAAAAACGGCCCGGACGACCCACGGCGCCCCCCGAAGCGCCGCCCGCCCCTCGGGCTTGCTGGCCAATCGGCACGCAGCGCCCCGGGAGAGACGGCGCCAAGGCCCAATGAGCAGCGCGCGCGCCCCGGCCGCCTCCTGGCAGGGCTGCGTTGGGGCAACTGCGCTCGCCCCGTAGGCCAGGCCCGTGGTCTTCTGCGCAGCGGCAGCTGCGTCGCCCGGATGGCACCTGCCCTCCCCGACTCGCGCCGAGCAGTTCGTACTGACCTCCGTAGCCTTGCTCCATGTCTTCGACGCGGCCCGCCAGCAGCCCCTTTTATCTAGGCTGCCACAGGACGCATGCGTTCAACGCACCTCCCGCCTTCCGCTACTGGAAGTCACGTATCACGTCACTCCCTTCGCGCGCTGCCAATGGCTGGTCTTCCGGAAGACACGCCCACGGCCGTTCCAGCTAACCTTCCGGGTTGCTTGCGATTGGCGCCTGCAGCCTCTCGGGAATTGTGGTTGGACTCCGGCGTCTCGGGGCCCAGGCCACACGCAGGCGCACTTCACGCCCCGCCCGCCGCCGGCGCGCAGGCGCAACTCGCACCTCCCCCGTGCGCAGGCGCAGCCTACTCCGGCGCCCAGAGAGTGGTTTGCGCCCCCCCGCCGCCGCCCGCCGCCCGCCGCCCGCCGCCCGCCCGCACACTGACAGGCCGACTAGGACTTGGGTGGGAAGAACTTTATTCGACTTGACTTCCAGCCTTGGCCACGCAGGCCCTGCCCGCCCTGGGCCCGCGTCACGGGGCGCCCCCGCCTCCCTCCTCGTCGTCTTCCACGTCGAGCCCCGGGATGCCGCGGATCTGGCGCTGCAGGGCCCCGCCGAGGAGGGGCTCGCCTTCCTCCTCCTCCTCCGGGGGAGGCGGCGGCGGCGGCGGCGACGCGGCGCCAGGGTTCGGCTCCGGGGGCACCGGGGGCTGCGCCGGCGCGGCCTCCGCGTCGCCCGGCGTCCCTTCGGCCTCGTCCTGCTCTCGGTCCTCCTCGGGACTGTCGGTGAAGGGGTTCTCACCCTGCAGGGAGCGCGGGCAGTGAGGCGGGGCCCGGGGCCGGGGCGGGGCGGGGCGGGGCCGGGCGGCGCCTTACCTTCAGGTAGCGCTCCAGCTTCTTGCTGATGAGCTTGTTGTTGAGGATGCTGCGGGCCACCATGAGCGAGGACTTCTTGGACTGCTCCATCATGAGCTGCGGGCAGGGCGGGCAGGGCTGGAGACGCTGTCCGGGCGCCTGCCCGCCCGCTCTGCGCTGCCCCACTCTGCCTGGCCGTCATACTTACTGGGATCAAGGGTCACCTACAGAGCTCGGCCCTGACTTGCAGGAATCACACAGAAGCTTTCTAACCCACACGTGCACAACCCACACAACGAGGAGCCACAGGTCCCGATCCGCGCAGAGGCCTTCAGCATCGACAGAGCAGAAAGCCAGGAACACCCATGTCCAAGGCCAGTGAGCTCCAGCGACCATAACCCACAGGGTTCCAGTCTTGAAGAGCTAAATGCGGCGCGAGCCGCAGCGCGGTGCAGTGCGTGAGGCCACTCATCCCGCGCTGCAGAGCCTGGGGTCAGCTAACGCACCTGGGAGGCAGACCACGGCCCACCACCCACCAGGAGGCCCAGGTGGCTCTCTGGGCTCTTGGTTTTGGCCTGGCCCAGCCCTGGCTGCTGCAGGTCCCTGAGGAGTGAACCAGTGGATACAAGGTCCCTCTTTTCTGTCTCTCCCTGTCTCTGTCACACGGCCTTTCACATAAGTTTTTTTTTTTTTTTTTAAAGTAAAAATTTGTTTCAACCCCTTTCCAGAACTTATCCTAAGTTTAAGAACTGAAAACATGGGCCGGCGCTGTGGTGTAGCAGGTTAAACCTTCGCCTGTGATGCCAGCATCCCATATGGGCACCAGTTCGAGACCCAGCTACTCCACTTCTGACCCAGCTCTCTGCTACAGCCTGGGAAAGCAGCAGAGATGGCCCCCAAGTGCTGGGGCCACTGCACCCATGTGGGAGATCCAGAAGAAGCTCCTGGCTCCTGGCTTCAGCCTGGCCCAGCCCTGACTGTTCTGGCCAACTGGGAGTGAACCAGCAGATGGAACATCTGTCTCTCCTCACTCTGTAACTCTGCCTTTTACATAAACAAAATAAATAGATGAATAACTCTTTAAACAGAACTGAAAACATGGAGTCACTGCCTACAATGCTGGCATCCCGAATGAGTGCTGGTTCAAGTCCCCGCTGCTCCACTTCTGATCCAGCTCCTGGCTAATGCGCCTGGGGAAAGCAGCAGGACATGGCCCAAGTCCTTGGGTCACTGCCATTTACGTAGAGGCCCAGATGGGAGTTCCAGGCTCCTGGCTTTGGCCTGGCCCAGCCCCAGCTCTTATGGCCATTTTTGGGGAATAAACCAGCAGATGGAAGCACTCTCTCACCCCCTCTGTGTCACTCTTTTCAAATGAATAGGTCGAAAGAAAAAAGAAATTCGGGAAATGCATGCACAATAGTTATATGGTGATGAAAAACTGGAAAGCACTGGAATGTTCTTTGGTGGAGGAAATGATTACATCAGACACTCAAAAGCACACTGCGCAAGCCCCTAAAATCGGGCTCATGTGTCCACTGGCATAAGAAAGGTGAGTGACAGGGCAGTGGTTGTGACTTGCCCCCAGTGGCTCTGGAAGGATGCACACTGACCCGTGTCATTTCCTCTGTGGTTGGGAGTCCAGGCACATCTCACTGTCATCACCAGAAAGCCAGGGGCAGAATGGGAACGAGGGAGCTAGAGCACACACCTGCCTCCGGGACCCCTACAGAGCACTAGCCAGCTCTATGGATGTCTCAGAAAGCCATAAATCAGGCTGCTGCACCCCCTACTCCCTTTTTCTAGGTGCGTGTGTCTTCTGCTACGTGGGGAGAAGATGGACAACCCTTCTGCACGCTGCTAAGAGGGCATCATCACAGGGTCCTTCCTTGAGGCTCCTCCCCCTTCTGGGCACCCGGATGGACACACTGCAACCTGCCCCCAAAGATGTTCCCACACAACATCACCAGAATAAACCGACATGGACCTCCCTGCTGGTGCTTTCAGTTCTAACCCAACTGGCCCCCCGTAAAGGGACAGTCACTGCCAGAACATCACAAGTGGTGCTGCTTCTGAAACCTCTATTGAAACTGATCGGTCCTCCTGCCTGTCAGCACTGGATCTTACCACTGCTGGGCATTTCTGCTCTCACATAAAAATGGAAAAAAAAAAAAAAAAAAAAGGAGGGAAGAACACTTGCAGCATTACTCCAGCAAAGCTGAGTTATCTGACAGGCCTGCTGGGTCACCTTGCTCGGTGTTTCCAGGTCAACTCCTTGGTGGCCTCTGGACTTACCTCCTGGCTTGCCCAGGAAGGATTCCTTTAACCTCAAGGCAAACAAACCTAAATTGTTTCTGATCTTTTACTTTTTCACGCTAGAATTTTCTAGAGTTTAACAGTTGACATGAGGCAGGGGTCCTACTTTGTTCTGTGGAAATTACTATTAACCATTATTTCCTACTAAATTGGTATATAAGGTGAATGCTCCCTTATTGGTAACTCCGAAATTCAAAAGGCTCCAGAAGCACACGTTTCCCCCCTAAACTCATTTGGTGGCAAAACGTGAACTGAGGTCACATTTTGTATCATCTCTCTTCATCCCACTTGTACCAGTCACCTGCGGAGTTACTGATGTCCGGCTACCAGGCACTTTCCTAGACCCTGCTGGCAGGGTCACAGGTCATACCATACTGTCTTTATACTAACCATAAGGAACACTAAGTTCTACAACACACCAGGATCCTTGGCCACTCTCTGTTCTGGGCCACTGTCCTACTACTCTGCCAGGATCACTTTTTTGCTTTTAATTGCAATAGCATTGTAAAAAGTTTTAAGCAAGCCCCTGAATTCACTAATGCCCTCTGTCTAATCCTGGCTATTGTTAGACTTAATCCTATCTATATTTTCTGGAATCCTATCTCTTACCAAACTCTTACTTCTAAGAACATTTTGCTGGAACCACTCAGCTTTTCTAAAAGCACAATCACCTTCACTGCACAAAGCTCTTATTTCTAGTATTTTTTAATCCAAAATGTTGCTGGATTTCTCACTGAACCAAAAATAAAACTCTATGCACAATGTCTTATAGATAGTCACTACTCTATCAATTACTTAGTGCTTTTATACTTTCAACAGTAAACAAATCTACAGTTTCATCTTGAGGGAGTCTTCATGAGGTTTTTGGAAACTAAGGCACAAGGCTTCAGAAACACCAACTAGGGAACTCACTGCTCCGAAGGCAGGCAGAGGTGCACCTCAGAGCCACTCCACAGTGCAACTGACGGAGAAGCTACTCACAACCAACCAGTTGGGGTTTTGGAAAGGTTCCTAAGGACACGGCAAGTAAGTGAAGAAACACCTAACGGGGGGAAAGTGACTGAGGCCCAGGAAGCGGAGAGCGGGCTGGGACGTCTGCAACGTGACCCACTACTTGTTGCTACCAGCTGGGCACGATGGAAACACCACTCCAGACTGCGGCCCACACTGCTCAGCCGCTGAGGCTTGGTTCTGAGCAAGCACAAGGTGAGAGGTGACAGCTCCTGTTCTTCCACCCAGGCCCTGTGCGTGGTGTGGAGGCTTGACTGTGGGCTTGGCTTGTTCATCAGGAAGAGGCGCCCCACCAGCACCTAAGGCAGCAGTCACTCAGAGAGAAGCACTATACTATCCCGGCCCCCAGCGTCTTGGCTCTCAGATTTTGCCCAGGGGAGAGCCTGGCAGGTCACCATGAGTGCTCGGTCTCTTCCCAAAGGAACTGACTTCCTTGGCTGGGGAGTGAGGGGAGGTCCCAGCGCTGTGGACTCTCTCAAAACAATGGAGAAAGGAATTCAGAGGAGACCCGGTAGATTTAACAGGGACGTCATCTGAATCACAGGCCAGTTAAGTGCCAGGGAGTTTCAGTAAGACAGCTAAGAATAGCTTCACAGGAGTCGGAATAAATCTCAATCATCTCAGAAATGATCCTTGTACAGAAGCCCACGTTAACGCAACCAGCTGGCCATCAGTGGAGTTTTAACAGTTCAGTGTGAGCTGGGAAGACAGTCAGAAAGAGCTCTGCCCACACCACTGTCATCCAGGGTGACTGTGCACCTGCCCACGGCTTCCTCTTCCAAGGTACAGCACTGTACACTGTGGGTGCAAGAGGGCCCTCACCCAAAGAATGTGGCAGTCACTTCACAGTAGACAAGCAGACACAGCAAGACCAGCACCAGGAGTTGCCAGGATATACAAGACATCTGGCTGCCAACAAAACATTACAAGACATCCAAAGGAGACTCTGATCCACACGTAGGAAAAAAGGCCAACAGAAAATGCCTGTGACAGCGCCCAGATGTCAGCTTTACAGACTGCAAGGTCACAATTGCTACTGTGTTTCAAAGAACAAACGCCTGAAGAGGCAGAAGGCACAACTGCACTGTCAACAGAAGACATCAGCAGAGATAAAATTCACACAAAGCAACCTGGCTGGCGCCGTGGTGCTGTGCGTAAAGCCAGAGCCGCCACCTGTGACACCAGCATCCCATATGGGCGCTGGTTCGGGTCCCGGCTCCTCCACTTCTGATTCAGCTCTCTGCTAATGGCCTGGGAAAAGCAGTGGAGGATGGTCCAAATGTGCTCAGGCCCCTGCCACCCATGTGGGAGACCGGGAAGAAGCTCCTGGCCTTTTCGGGTTGTTGTGGCCATCTGGGAAGTGAACCAGCAGATGGAAGATGTCTCTGTCTCTCTGTCTCTCTCTCCCTCTCCTCTCTCTCTCTCTCTCTCTCTCTATATATATACATAAAACTCTTTAAAATCAATCAACCTTTAAAAAAGAAAGAAAGAAACCAAATCTAGGAAGTGAAAGGCAGAGTGCAGACATCAATCACGCGACCTGAACACAGAAACAGAATGCATGGGACACCAGTATGCAACCCAACATGTACATGACCCCTGATGATAACAGGGGAAGAAATATCTGAACAGGAACAGATGTTTGCTAAAAGCTTCCCACATCAAAGACATTCAACGAACCACAAGGGGAACCAGCACAAAGAGATCTAAGACAAGACATAACGTAACAAAACACCACAAGTCAAAGACAAGGGGGAAATCTTGAAAGCAGCAAGAGAAAAACACATCATCAC